TTGCCAGCTCAGCCGCAGGTGCTCCGGTACGTTTGATTTTTTTTTAATCGGCGTTCACACGTTTGACAATTGCCGATTCTATCTCCAAACACCCGGCATTACGATCGCAGCACACCATAAAATACTCGCCTCCGAGCACAGCGTACATGCTTCAATATTCCTACTTTTGTGCGTTTCACACTTTCTCTTATAGACTTGCGTCTATTGCCTGATGTCAAGCAATGGCCGCCGGAGGCGACACCGACGGGCTCCTGATCCGCGATGGCCTACTACAATAGGGATCAGTGGTAACCCCCAATTGGCCGCCGTCATGCTGCACATTTTTGACCACTAGACACGTGACCTTAGAGTTTTACGTCTAGATTTTAACGAAGTACCGCGCACAAATAATGGATTATTGATCTTTAATAACAGTACCGACGAGATAAGTTATGTTTCATTTGTTTTAAGTCCAAAATGGGCTTTTATGACAAAAACTCGGGCAGCTTCGCGATGACTCCGCTAGAAGCCGTCAGCCGCGGTGCTCTATTTCGCGTTTTTATCGGAGCTAGACACTGATCTATGGGGCAAATACTATTGAAAAAATAGTTGATCATGTTTTTTACAGCGATCGCAATACAAATCTCGTGTCAGTTTTGCGTAAAAGTCTCAGGATTTGGTAGGGTCACGTGTCTACTGGTCAAAATCGTACAACATGGCGGTGGCAAAATGGGGGCCACCTTTGCCTGGTGAACGGGATACCAGTTTATCGCTCTAAGCCCCTCTACCTCGTTGGCTGTCACGAAAAACGCCCGCAAAATGGAAGCCAATGTGGCCTCCTCGCGTTGGGACGCCGGGCGGCGATGGCGCCCAGCGGCGCCATTGCCGTATAGTGTGGCGACTGTAGTGATGCAAAACTATCGCTAAATTGACTATCGATAGTGTCACAGAACTATCGATAGTCGACTATCGAGAGTACTATCGATAGTTTTTCGATACTCGACTATCCATAGTACTATCGATAGTTTTTTGATAGTCAACTATCGAAGTACTCTCGATAGCTTTTTCACTATCGATAGTCAGATTTCTAGCGACTATCGATAGTATCGATAGTACTATCGATAGTTTTGCACCACTAAAGCGAACACAACTGCCTCACCGCCTCTCGCCTCCTTTTCTCCTGTCTTCGCCCAAACTCCCGTCTTCGCCATTTCTGAAAGCTGAACCAAAGTCAAAATGGTAAATTAATGTCCCATTAAAAAAAAAAAAAAAAAAAAAAAGCGAAGCAAGAAAAAAAAGAGGGAGCGACGCAAACTACTAGTGTCCCGAAATTCTCGATAGTAAGCCGTCGACTGTACTATCGATAGGTTTACGATACTCGACTATCGATAGTTTTCCGATAGTCGATTAACGATAATTTTCCGATAGTCAACTATCGATAGTACTATCAATAGTTTTTCGACAGGGAATTATCGATAGTACTATCGATAGTTTTGCACCACTAGTGGCGAGGCTTTTAGGCGCCTGTTTCCGCGTATAACGGTGCACCGTCGCCGTCGGCATAATCGCGCGCGTTGCATTATGGGTCGTCACAGACCTATACACTACTCAATTTTTCGCTAAATTTAGCGGGGAATCGATACATCCCATAATGCAACACTGCGCATTCAGTTGCCCCGATAAATTTAGCGGAAAAACTGACGTCACATGACCTCGATACCAACTCAGTTTCCCCGCTAACTTTAGCGGGGAAGCTGAATAGGTGTTGAGGTCACGTGGCGTGAATTTTTCAGCTAAATTTAGCGAAGAAAGTGTGGGAGGGGGAGGAAGGGAGGCGTACGGAGGATGAGAAGGGGAGGCTACAGAGGAAGAGGAAAGAAGGAGGGGAATGTACGGAGGAGGGGCCTGTACCCTCCCTTCCGTACCCTCCCCCTCCTCAAGAGCTGCGCACTAATTTCCCATTACAGAGATTTGTAAACGTCTTTCATTCTTGAACATTTCATTCTCATCGTATTCCCCAGTTCTCACCCCGCATCTTCCCCACAAATGACCTGAGGTCAAGGTGGTGGAAAAATCATTAAAATACGTCTTAACAAAATAAAAAAATAATAATACTGTTTGATAGAGTCGTAGGCGTTTTACTCCGTGAGATGTGGGGTTGACCGAGTGATTGCGATGGGGCCGATTAAAGGACGGCGAATCTGTCTACAGTGGCCCAAATTTTCAGATGCATTTCGATGTAATACCGATTAAGACTTCTTGAAGGGATACTGAAACGAAATTCTAGCGCCTATTTTATGGTCTAAATGTGAACCACGTTGTGGCCACACCACAGGCACAACGTTTTTGCTCGAAACGACTCCAAAGCATTATTTAAGAGGAATAAACCGAATGTCGTTACGTCAAGCTCAGCGGCGAGCTGCGCGCTCGCAAGCCCCGTCGAACTTAACCGAACCGGACTTCCCTTCTCTCCCACGCCTATTCAACTCCAGCGGGGAGCGGGGAAGGGCCACTGAAACGGCCAGGTTGTAATGCGTTTACGCCACCAAGTGGCAAAGCTCACAGCCACGTGAGCTTCTATGTAGCCTTGGCCGTGATGGAAAACACGACGTCACGAACGCGATGCGTCTCGGGAGCTCCCGAAACGCATTACAAGCTGGCCGTTTCAGTTGCCACTCCCAACTCCCCGCAGGAGTTGAAGCGACGCTTCGCCGGCATTTGAAGTGAAAGTTGAAGTCCGGCCGTCCGTCCTCTTGGACATCAACTACGCAAACAGCACGGCTTTCGTCCTCGCCTCCTCTGCTTTTCGGTGACGTCGCTGGTCGTAATTCTTGACGTCAAAAGCGACCTGCCAATTATGTGCTGGCCATCTGTTCTGCAGATGGCCAGCATGTTCTGCAGATGGCCATCTGTTCTGCAGATGGCCCTTTGGGGCTCAACCCGCGCGAAGCAGCTTGGCCGGCTCGCCCGTGTATCCTTCTCTTTCCCGTTTTCGGGAAGCTCGGACATGAACAGCAGCGGAGGCCTTGACTTACAGCCAACAGAGCGTGTGAGTGGCTATCCGGAGTCCACTTGATGAACACGCTCCAGGCCCCTCTCAAAAACAAAAATGCACCGGGAAAAAAAAAAAAGATCTGGTTATGACTTACGCGTTTGGGAGTCTCCTGTTTGGACAGGCCTTTAGCGCGAAACACATGTACGACGAAACCGTCCGATCCGACGTCCGACCACGCAATACGACGGTCGGAGGCGAGGGTTTTCAACGCTCTCCGGTGCTACAAAAACCCTCGCCCCCAAGGTCATTCAGGCAGTCCGCATGTCGGATCGGAAGGTTTCGTTGTACGTGTGTTTCGCGCTTTATGCAGTGTCACCGCGTTTTTACGACGAACTTACTTGTCGTTCTTTCCATAGAGGGTAAACGAACTGAGGTCAGGAGCGTCGTGCAGGATGAGTCATGAGCAATGGCGCAGTGGCGTCGGAACACGGGGGAGCAAAGGGGAGAGGGGGGGGGGAAGGGGCAAAGTTTTACAAATTAAAAAAAAAAAAAAAAAAAAGAACCGCAACGGAGAGGTTATGGAAGTGACCTGCTGAAATCGTTTCAGTGGCGGCTCTGAACACATCTATTCGCACAATAATTGAGTCTACGATTTTTTTTTTCTAGATGTGATTTTCTGGCGCTTGAAGACAGATAGTGCTTCGCGAGCGTTGGCGGTTATCGCCGATAGGAATTGGCAATGGCAGGCTAAGAGTTCAGGAGAAACTCGACTCACAACTTTAGCAGAGCGAACGCTAGGGAGTATGCGACCTCCTATCCAGCGTTCGCTCTGCTAAAATGGAAAGGAGTGGCAGGACGTTCCATTGCACTCTTGACCTGTAGGGCCTTAGGGTGCCGCCATTTTGCTCGCTAGTGGTGTGTTGGGCGCGTCATAATCCGATTACGGGAGTCGTGATCGCATAATGGCGCGCCCAAGTGCACCCCAAGCGAGCAAGACGGCGGTGCCCCGGGTCCGTACCTGCAAACGTGTATACTTCGTGTCACATGTTATGTGCAGTGCAGGAGAGGGCAACGCCAGTCGAAGACGGGCACTAGGAAGGCGGGACGGGACAGGAGGGCAATGGAGAGCGAGGGGAGAAAGAAAGAGCACCAGGAACGTTAGAAAGGAGAGGAGGTTTCTCTCCTCCTCTTCAGCCTTCCTAGTGCTTGCCCTTTCTTCCCTCGCTCGGCGTTGCCTTCGCCTGTACAGCACGCAGCTAGTGACACGGGGTATAAGTCGTTCTGGGTGACTAAGCCCTAAACACGGTCAGCGAATACAGGTGCTCACTGCTTATTTAGCCGTGGTTACTGCCCGCCCCATGATCATCTTAGTCTTATGAACTTATGACGTAGTTAGTCCGCGATTAAACAGGCGCACATCTCGTGAATTCTAGGGTGCCTTCATGCGCGCTTCGCATAGAATGATGCCAACTGCCCGTTTCCCTTTCCCACACCCTCTTTCACCGCCATTTCGTTCCTCTCATTGTTTTCCCGTGCGCCGGAAAGCGGCCTTTGTGTCCATCGGTCCTCCCATCCGAGGGAGAAAATGCTAATCCTCCCTCCGTGGGTTCCACAACGCTGCTTCGAACTTGTGAGATAAGGTGCTTGTTTCCAGGAGGGCCCCACGGATTATCGCCGAAAACCAAAATGGCTGCTGGTTTGTCGGCGAGTGGTATTACAAAGGGTGGCATCACCCTAGCAAAGCGCACATGAAGGCTCCCTAGTGAATACGACTGCCTGCGTTTCCATGCATGAACCTGACCCGGTGCAGTAGTATCGAAATAAAATTAACGCACGGTTTCAGTGCCTCCGAGGGTGAGATGGCCACTGACCAATAACGAGTGTGCATTCTTCTAGGTAATAATAGTATCGTGATAATAAAGAACGTATAAAGAACGTAAATAAAGAACGTAGTTAGGGCAGGATAAGTCCTACCAGGACACCCACACAAACATAGTCAGTACTGCAAAGCAAAGAACTGCTCGTCCAACTGTAACATAACACTTTATTTGTACAGCGGGAAGAATATTTCCTCGTTTATACCGCATACATTTATATAAAAAATGGCAAGGTGTCTTCCCAAATAACAAACGCTGCATGCTCTACCCATTTCCGTGCCCCAACGTACGCGCAGCGCGCACAAAATCAAATCGAGAACTTGGGCGCGTCTTCCAGCATGCCGCGCGAAGTATATCTGGCGAGAGCATACATGCATATTGCGTCAGAGTACGATGATTGTGCTGCAACGAATGTGAGGGACGGCGACACCGCTCGTGTCGCTCAAAGGCACAAGGAACGGCACCGCTGCAGGTGCGCTATTTATAGATGTGGATGCGGGTGATGAAGAGGCCGGCGCCGATCCCGAGTCGCGTCAGGGACTTGCGGAAACGTCGTACGCGCCGTTGAAGTGCGCAGGGAGTCTGGCCCTGGCGCTGTCCTGAAAGAACGCGCAGGGCAAGGACAATGGGTCAATATAAGGGTGTAGCGATGGTTAGCACACCGCTCGTACCTCCTACAAAAGGCAGAGTGTTCGCCTGAGGACATGAATTATCTGCGCACATGCCTGAAGCATGTTCAAAGCATGCAGCTTCACATTTGTGTACTTAGACCATATCTGCAGGCAGTTTTAACGCGATAGAGGTCGTGTCGCAGAAAATCCGTCTTCAGCGGGACTGGAAAATCCTGATTGGTCGATAGGGTCATGACGTCACAGCCGCGTGTGACGTCACACGTGGCTGTTACGTCACGACTATTGAACCGCTAAATTTGGCGGGACAAGTTTCCGCTAAATTTGTCGGCAAAAGTTTTCTGCTAAATTTAGCGGATCGATAGGGTAACGACGTCACAGCCACGTGTGACGTCACGCGTGTGACGTCACGCCATTAGACCTCGCGCGGGAATTTCAAACAACGCTCACGTGTGACGTCGCGTGAAACGTGACGCCACACATGACGTCCCATGACGTACCGTGGCACGTGACGCTACTGACTAGACCACGCACACAGGCCTACACGGCTTGTGAACGAGGGCGGGTTTATATGAAAATGCTTTGTGTTCCACTTTTAAAGATGAAGGTTAAGCGTCCTCCAAGTTTTCTGTATGACCAATGTGACCATCACACAAGGAAGAAACACGCTTCAAAGATTTCCTGCAGACTGCCTTTTGTACGATGTATTAGCGATGTGACCACTGCTTTAAGGTATACTCCTTTTCATCTCAAGTCCGAGTGCTACCACCGCCAACTGATCCAATCAAATGCGAAGAATGCGTCGTAACTTCGCGTTTTAGTGGTTTGTGTTGCAACTAGCTTTTTTCCCCTGCTCGGACTCAATATGAAACTGAGCATATAATAGCAAGTTTAAGTAGTGCGTATGCGAGTGAACGCAATCGCTGTGCGCGTGCGTTAGCGTTGCGTGTTCCGTATGGCGCATGCGCGGAACTACGGTCTTGGATTGGCGCATGGCGACGACGCGCATGCCCAGCATCACGCAACGCTAACGCTAACGCACCGCGCTTGCGTTTTATCCCATACGCGATACTAAAACTCGATTAATATCAATTTTTTTTCTTAATGCGGAATTGCATTGTAACGAAAGGTAGCTCAGGTTTCACGACCGCGTGAGGCGAAGCGTGCGTGCCACAGTGGAAGACAGCAGAGTTGGCCATCTATTAAAAGCACTCGGAAACAACAATATAATTAAAAAAAAAATGAATCAGACTATGCAGTCATGTAAAGCATGTCGCATTGTGCAATAGTAATAAACAGGATTGGCCAGCTGCAGAAAGCTTTCGAATGCAACAGCGAGGAAAAAAGAATGAACAACAACAAGAAACAGGTATACGTGAGGAGAACGAGTCGACATTTGGAAAAGACGCGGCGGAGCGTGCCAGGAAGGCAGAAACTGGGCGGGAAAGTTGGCTGCGGTTTTTCATAAAACGCAGTTCTGCGTATATATGACGGTTTGGTCGATATATCAAACTACAGTTACATTTTTTTTTCTGTTGTCGCCTATATATTAAATATTTTTGACGTCATGTCGAAGCGGTGACGCTGACAGCACAGTGGCGGGTACAGAAGCTTTTTAGGGAAATGGGTTTCTACGCATTTGCAATGGCCACTGCTCGCGTTTATAAGACAAAAGCAAAAAGAAGGATTGGTGCATAGTGCCTTTTTAAGTTCTAAGCTCGACTTGACATCTCTAGAAGCCAGACAAAGTTGTTTTATAGAGCAAGAGTTTAACCTGCCTATTTCCTACCTATTTAACCTACCTATTTCGGGGTTATCTTTGTTATAGGCGATATATTCGAAAGCTTAAACTGACCGTGTTTATAAAACTTAACGAGCCCTTACACATGTAGTTGATTGAATGATGGACCCAGTCCGTCACTTTTTCACGAATGACTGACATACAAGACCAGCACGTGGGTCCAGTGCAACGGGAAAATATATGGGCAATAGGAAAGCGTGCTCTCGATGCAGCTGAAGTAGCTCGTGATGACTTTGTCACATTGAGAGTTCCTTGAACTCTCTTTGTAACAACGAGGGTTCCTTGAACCACCCAATTTCATCACGAACTGAAAACATTTTAAGGGAGAGAAATGGTTTGGTGTTTGAACTTTACAAATTGTACCGTATTACGTAGCTCCTACCTGCAGGTCAGACGTTACAATTGAGCGCCACGTGCTCCGCTAAAATAGGAGAAACAAAAAAGGACAATTTTAATGCCTATTTTGAGTTGAAGGAATAAACTTGGTAGGGTTGGTGGACCATTATGTTTCACAGCAGGTGTTAGCGCCCCTTTCCGGCGAAATCGGGCGGCGGCCGTACACAAACTTTCACGTGACTGCGGGGTACGCGCGCCCCCTCGCACAACTACATCATCTATGCACGACGTGCTACCGCTCTCTCTCTCTCAGACACTCTTCCCCTTCCCCCCTCTCATAGACGCACGCACACACACACACACGCGCGCGCACACACACACGCACACGCACACACGCACACACACACGCACACACACACACACACACACACGCACACACACATACTCTTCCCATTACCGCCACCCACATTGCAGCAGCCCCAAAACCGCAGTCGCCGTCTTCGTCGCTTCGTGGTTCTGGAAGGTTCTCCAGGACGTCTACAAACAACAGCTAAACTAAACCGCGCATTTCAAAGTTGAAATGCGCGGTTTAGACGTGTTTTTTAGTTCTAAAAAACACGTGTCTGTTATTTTCTCGCCCCCCAAAAGCTCATCTCGTAAAAACATCCCGCATAAGCTCACATCTCGTAAAATCCAACTCATACAGCTATGCTATTAGAAGCAAAGTGACCAAATATCCTATGCACATCAAGTGAAAGAAAAATCTCTAAAGCACGTATGTCAACATTGCAACAGCTGCCGCTGTCAATCGCGGCACACGTTGTGTAGATGTTTGCATTTCTTTTTTCTAAGATAAGAATATGTCGGCGCTGGTGATTGTCACTTTTCAGTCACTTTTCAGTCTGTGTTTGGCTGTTGCGACTTACTGGTTGGGTCTCGATCATGGCGATCTGGTTCCCTTTGCTGGGTGGCCGAGGAGCGGCGGGCGTGGCCTCGGTGGCCGCTTCGTCCTCTTCGATCTCCCACCAAGTTTCGTCGTCGAACAGTTCGTCGACGCTCGGAGCGTCGAAAAACTTCAGCTTCATGATCAAGCCTGCGTGCAAGGTGTCACCACGTTAAAGGAAGATCGCACGCCCTCTGGTGTATGTGATAGTTCCGAGGCAATCTATTTTTAGAGCGCAGCTCTTAGGCGCCCGTTCCGACGTCGGCGTCGGCGTCGCGTCGGTGTCGGCGTCGGCGGAACCGCGCGGTGCATTATGGGAAATGTCCCATAATGCACCGCGCGAGCCCTCCCCCGGGGTCACGTGACCCCTAGGTCACATGACTGTCAGGTACCCCCCCGAGGAGATTGGAGAACGAGGGGAGGAGGAGGATAAGAAGGTGAAGAGGAGGGAGGAGGGACAAACCCTCCCGTCAGTACCCTTCCATCCTCCTCCTCAAGAGCTGCGCTCTAATTCGGCGTTACAGGGAGTTGTAAACGGCTTTCGCTTTTTTTATACTAATTTTAATTGGCAAATCGGCCATGCAAGACAGTACAGATTTTCTTTTTTATTTTTTTAGGATGCAACGTTGAGCTTTTACTGTCTCCGATGGAGGGATAGTGAGTGGGCAGACCTTAATGCTAGCTGCCTCGAGATCTACCCATTATCCTTCCAATGGGAGCCAATCAGAGCTCGGCGATCTGACGTCACCGCAACCCCTGCTCAAGAAGCAGACGAAATTTCCCTCCGCATAAGGACTTCTACTCCCAGGTGGTCTAAGGAAACAAAGACATTTCTCATAGCTGACTGCAAAGAGCCAAGCCATGGCCTATTTGCAGTTAAAGAATAATGGGATAAACCTCTCCCACAAAGATTTCTGCTTGCCGATTTCGGCTTCTTCCTCTCCACTCGCCTCCCTTCCAGCGTTCGATCTTCTAAGGTGGAAAGAGGGGAGACCTTTGTGGGAGGAGCTTGTCCTTCATTTATTCATAACTGCAACAAACTATTTACTGTCAGCTTTCCTTTCACAAATGTGTCCCAATCTTAAAAATACTTCGTTAAAAAAGAAAATGTTAAAATTAAAGGATGCGGCGCAAGAGAAGGAGCACAATTATGTGAGCTCTAATTTTGTTCCGCCTCATACCGGTGAGCAGTCCTCCGCCAATGGCAATGGCGAGTGTGCAGGCCAGAGCTGCGAGTTGGAAGAGCCCCTGGGAGGAAGCCGATCGACCGAGTCCTGCGTGGACGGCCATGGTGTAGAACCGGATCTGCTCGAGGTCAGTCGAGTTTTCGGGTGGGGCCCTCGCTGGGTACAGCGTGTACAGACTGCATCGAAAAAACAGCGACAGTGTTTAGGAGCGTTTTACCAAAGATGTACATACTGAAGACATCGATGCTTAGATTACTTCTTCAGTTAGTCCTTTTATTCCTTGCTGCAATCCAAATCCAACGCGTTCATTTGTATAGTCACTGACAGAGCGAGACGGCAGGGAGGTCTTTCCGTTTCCCGCTTTTCATGATCTTCGATATCACTTCGGCTCCCCTCGTGAGCATTGAGTTTGCAGCCAAAACACACCAGAATGCAAGCGCGTGCTGGAGGCACTGGAAAGAGACACCCTGCCGTTTCAGTGGAGAGCGCGCGTGCACTGCTCTGATGGGTGCTCAAGATGCTCAAGCGCACGTCCGCCGATGGCTTTGACTGCAGACTGTTGTCCGCAAGTATTGTGCACTAACTGTGGCTTAGCGTAACTGCAGTTAAGTGTGCTCGTGTAACACGGGTATTAACGAGGGTAAGTAGTGCGTCTAAGTAGTCGCGAGCTAAGTGAACAATCAGCGGTTAAGGAGCGACTAGACTATGCGGTATTCACGAGCGCGAAGCAAGCGGGTGACTATCTAGTCAGGAATAGCAAGCGGAAGTGACATTTAAACGCCACTGCTAGATGAGGATTTTATTATTTAAAAACTAATATTTAAATATCTATTAGAAGAAATAAAACGTTATAATGAGACTCTGATCCACCAAAACAAAGTTTCACTAAAAAAAAGAAAGCCGTTTACAAATCCCTGTAACGCCGAATTGGAGCGCAGCTCTTGAGGAGGAGGAGTGAAGGGTACTGAGGGGAGGGTAGACCCCTCCCCCTTCTCCTCCTCCTCCCCTCATTCTTTAATATGCTCCGGGGGGGTGTCACGTGACTTCGGGGAGGGGGTCACGTGACCTCGGGGAGGCGTGACCTGGGGGTGACCTCAAGGCCACGTGACCCCAAAGGTGACCCCACGTGACCTTGGGGGTCACGTGACCTGGGGGTCACGTGGGGTCACGTGACCTTGGGGGTCACGTGACCTCGGGGGTCACGTGACCTTGGGGAGGCGACCACGTGACCTCGGGGGTCACGTGACCTCAGAAGGGTCACGTGACTTGGGGGTCACGTGACCTTCAAAGGGTCACGTGGGGTCATCTTGGTGTCACGTGACCTTGAGATGACCTTGGAAGGGGTCACGTGACCTCGAGGGGTCACGTGACCTTCAGGGGGTCACGTGGGGTCACGTGACCTTGAGATGACCTTGGGAGGGGTCACGTGACCTTGGGGGTCACGTGACCTTGGGATGACCTTGGTTACGCCGACGGCGACGCCGACGCCGACGGCGACGCCGCTCAAGCCGGGAACGGGCCCCTAAGGGCTCATTCACACTGGAAGCGGATCCGCGTTCGCAAAGCGGTTGCGAACGCGGTTGTATAAGGATTCAGTACAATTGCACGCGCACACGATGACATCGAATGCGCGTGCAATTGCACTGGATCTTTATACAACCGCTTTCGCAACCGCTTCGCGAACGCGGATCCGCTTCCAGTGTGAATGGGGGGTAAGAGCTGCGCTCTAAAAGAAAGCGCAAGGGAGAAAACACGGAAGCCGCATGCGGGCTCTCTCGTCGTCCAGCGCCTTGCTGAGTTCGATTTAGCGGTATATCTGACCTCTAAAGATTTCTATTTCCATAATGTTTGCCGCTCCAGTTCTTTCTAGATATTTCGCCCAGCGTTCCAAGACAGTAAGTGCTTCGTTAGCGCTGGATGTCAGCGGTGATAGTTGGCCATGGCGCTGAGGCGCAAGTCACAAGCTAAACACAGGCTAATAGCCGTACCCCTTGTCTAAGATTTTGCAGTCGCCTTCTAAGTCGCTCGGGGCTCGGGACGACTAAGTCCTAAATGTGGTTGGTGAATATTGTATGCTTACTTAGCGGTGATTACCACGTGCCATGCGATCATTTTAATCGATGACGTTGTTAGTCAGCGGTTAGACAGGCGCTCGTCAAGTCGCCTGCTGCCATAGCTGTCTGTTCTAGCCGCTAGGTGCCGTCGATTTAAGTCGCCAATACAAGATTTATGTCTGTTTTGCAAGAGAAGAGGCGCGATATTTTTTTTTTCGGAACGGCTAAGCGGTCGAGGCAAGTGCAAGATCTAGGAAGGATTGAGATAGCCTGTTTAAAAAAGACAACAACAACAACAACACAATAATATTGGACATTCCTGCTGTGCACGGACCACCGGTAGCATCAGCCACGCGTTCCTATCTGTTGAGAAGCATTGGAACGCACATGAACCGTAAGGACTAACCAAGTTTAACGCATCCCTGCTACAAGACATGGGCTTTGAGGTGAGACACGTCTCATGATGTCGAGTGTGGCTAAAAAAGTACTTATGCATCTAGTGCATTAATCAAGGACATTGCGCAGATGGATACCAAATAGCCGACAGAGGGTAAAATAAGTATTATTACAGAAAAATACAAATAAAAAATAGAAGGGGGCTGCAAGCCTGTCAGTGGAAGTTAGAATTAACAATGTAAGGAACAACTAACAGGGAACAAGTAGAAGACACTGCAGGCGGGTAAAGGTAAATAAGACGTGTACGCGATTAAAGAATATTTGTGGTGTCTATCAGTCTATGTGTTCAGGCGCGCGTTCATAGGCGCCGAACAAGAGATCGAGTAAATGCGGCCTGGGCTTTTTTACCTGTAGTTGTACTCTTCTTCGGTTGCACTGGCTGCGACAACTGCGCTTACTATACCCGCCAGAATCCCCGGCATGCCGTGTAGATTGTTGATGCCGCATGTGTCGTGAATCCTGAGCCGCCGGGATAGGAAAGGCTGCAAGAAATAAAAAGAAAGGGGCATCCATGCGAACAGTTTTACGACTCCGCTTCGAAAGTGATCCGTTCTCGTATATACTGGAGCGGTGCCTAAATTCAACGAGGTCGCAAAATCTGGACATCTTTGTTTTTGTGCATGGCGAAAAAGGCGCTGAATATGAGTAGAGCCCGACCGATCCGTCAACATCGTAACTGAGAATATAGCGCCAGAAATACGGCATGGCACCTCGGGAGCAGTTAACTCTTTGCTTGCGTAAAACACCTACACGTCACTGTCCTGCTCAAACGCTGTACATAGCGACACTCGGCAGGCGATAAGCTGCTGAAATTTTCCCTTCGCAACTGTTTTGGTTAATTTAAAGCGTGTCGTTCCTCAAGAATTGCCCAAATTTGACTGACAATATGTTTTGCTCTTTTCATTTATGGAAACATTTGGCAGAACCAAAGGACGTCTCCACCCTTGAGCATGCCAAGGACTGTATAAAAATTTAATTTGAGAAATCGCATTTAAGAATCAAGGCTGCGAATAACGGCATAAAAGGGATGATTTGTTTTTCGAGAAAGAAAATTTCCGTTATTTAATTGAACATCGAGAAAGAGGCGGCGAGGGGCTGGAGGCGCGTGCGCGCTCGTTTAATACAAATTTATGTAGACGGAGAAATCGAGCCGCGTTTTTTGTGTCACAACAATTGAGGCTGGATGTTACTCTAGTTGTTGGGAAAAGCTACAAAACTGTTAGATGGGATTTGTTTACTACTTTATTAGCGACAAATAATGTAATATTGAAAAAAGAAAGAAAGAAGCCTTATTACTAATCGCGAACACAAACAGAATGACAAAGAGGGACCGAAACAGGACAAGGCGTCTTGCCCGCGGTCTCTTTTTGTCTCCGTGTTTCTTTTGGCGTTTTTTTTTTCCCCGTGTACACGATGAACCGACTGGCCTAAACGATTTCGAAGCTGAGCTCATGAGGCACCCGGCCACCGTCCGCCCAAAATCGCTTGATGGACAACGAGCTCCACTGAACTATACAACTTCACTTCGTGCTACACAGAAAGGTGGGTGAGTAGAGCACAATAAAATATGTGCTATACACCTTTAATGATCCTTGCGTACACATTCTGCTACACCACATTTTCTAACCGAATACAGTGGAATCTCGCCGATTCAAGCTCTCTTTATTCAAACTCGCGGATAATTCAAGCTTGCATGCGGGTCCCTTCCTATGTGTTTCTTGGAAGGAAACTCCCGGTAATTCAAACTTTGCACTATTTGAACGAAGTTTTGGACCCCCGCTCGGGTTCAAATTGACGAGATTCCGCCGTGTTTTTAAAAATCGCTCTTAAATCTTTGTCTAGATAACAGTATATAGTCCGCTTCACTCTAAGTCTGACCGCAGCCGACGTGCACGTGCGATCCGATGGGCCCAACCAAAACGCGCCAAAAGTGCGTGCATAACATCGTTTTGTTTATGCCGTAGTGATGGACCGAATCTGCCGAACTTCAGATTCGGCAAAGGTCGGCAAATGCCGAACTTTTGAAGGAAAGTTCGGCAAAGATTCGACAAAAATTCGGCAAATGTCTGCGCACGCGCGAGAACGCGATGGGGCCGGGGATTGCAAACGGACGCCGTGCAGTCGTGCGGATACTATGGTGCAGTGCACGGTGGTGCAGCGTAGTACAACCAGTGGTTACGGCGAGGTGTGGAGTGACTAGGCAACACGGTCACTGCGTTTGTGAGCGAGTGTGGTTCTTTTCAATATGTTCTGCCTCATGAATAGTAAATCGACCAGTAATTTACGCGCAGTCCACTGCGCAAGTAGCAAATGACGCGGTACATTCTGAATGACGTGATTTTCATTTGACATTTCTAATGATGCAACGAGGTAGTTGAAACATTGGCCGACAATTACTTTAAGGCACTCCTCGCAATTATAACAATTCTGTTTTCGGCTCAGAAGTAGTGTGTGCCAAAACAAAATAATGTTGCTTTTTCAATTAGCGTTACTTCGAGATTCTCCCCTGGGTCTGCATAAAACTAAATACAGAACTATAATGCTCGACGTTGCACATCCGACCGTTTCTTACTCTCCCTATCTTCCTAAACGTTCCTGTGTGTCCTAACACCAGAAACTGACATTTTAAAGGTTAAAAACGAGACGTTTCTGATATGGGACGCTCACTTTCATGCAAAGTGGACGTCAAGTGACTCACATGGAAAAACATGCATATTTACAATAATATTATTATCTCTTCTGATGAAGGCTCAGCAACCGTTGCATTCGTTTTCGCACACAGAACGGTGAGTCTCGGAGAAAGCAAGAACGCAGCGTTACTGCCCTCATTTTAACAATGTACATGCACATGCAGGCTTGCGCTAATAATGCCTCAAAACCGAAACCCTCGTAGCGTGATTCGTGACTGCGCCACGCTCGCTTCCAAATTAATTTGATATAAATAAGATAATTCTGGTTTTGTCTCTTAAATTGTGATTTTTCTTACCATGACTATAATGCATGTATACAAGCCGTCCGTTTGAAGTGCACCCCTTGCTTGTTTATATACATGTATATATATATAAAAAACGACTAGCTCTTTCAGATGCACGTGCGTTGCTGTGTTCTCCCGTAGTTTTTGTTTACAATCAAAGTGCGAGTAATTCGTGACCGAGCATATGCGTGACCATGCGTGACCGTATCCCTGTTTTTTTGCTGTAACCCTTTCAAGTGCATGCATCCTCGACGCTTCATCGCGCCAATATAAGATGCGCGTGGTTAATGCATGAGCCTAACAATGGGTGCATTTAGCGACGTTCCCCGGAGTCAAGCTTCGTTGGCTCCTCGAACGTAACGAGCGAAAGCGCAACTTCCGCTTCACGTACGCCATCTGAATTGGTAAGTGGCGATTTGGGAATCCTCCTCTCCGTAATCCTGACAAACGGTCGCTCCTCCGAGAGGGCGTGTTGGCTTTAAAACGGTGTAATAGCAATACATTACTTTACTAGAATCATTCTACCTTTCCTGTATTTCTTCGTAAATATAGATTGAGGACTCCGACGCATCTAAAATATATTTTAAAAGATCTGAAATGTATTTTTTATCTGAATAATTATAACAGAACGATCGACCAGCTTTATTTAAAAGGACCATGACACTTGTTTTATTTATTTATTTATTTATCTCGTTATTCACAATGCTGCAAACCTTTCGGTCAACGCGGGAAAGAAAAAAAACACGTTGTTTGTGCGAAAAACTAATGAATGCCACATTGACACACTCATACGGGCCCTCAGACTTGTACAGGTAGGGTGGCAGCATTTGTTCCTGCCGAAAGAAATGAATTCCGGGTGGTACGAAAGCAATGCTGCAAAGGTACGCGTTCACTAACGAGGCGCAGATAATCGCCGCTGATACGACATCATTGCGAGCCGTGTATAGGCTTTGACAACCAACATTTTCAGAAGTTCAAGTAGACACGAATCAAGCACAATATATATATATATATATATATATATATATATATATATATATATATATATATATATATATATATATATATATATATATATATATATATATATATATATATATATATATATATAGAACAGCACCTGGGAACAAAAGACGGCACTCGAGAGAAATATGCTCAACACAATAATAGCCCTTAAAGGAGTTAGCCGAGGAGGTTGCCAAAAAAGAGATCAGTGAAAGAGATCAGTGAAACGTTTCGGGCCTGGTAGGCTCTTCGTCAGTCAGAAAGAAAAGGAGACTTCGTTCTCCTTTTCTTTCAATCAAAGAAAAAACGGCCGGAAAAAAGAAGTTAATTGGAAAAATGCTTACCGTTTAGCGGGTGCCTACTCAACTAAATTCTCGCTTAAAAGTTTAATATATCTCGATACCGATGCAATAAATACTATGGAAATAATTAAATATAATATTATTACTGCCATTCTTATCATAAAACCAGTTTTTGGGACATGTGGTTGGGTATAACCCAACTATACCTGGTGTCATGTGAAGCCAATGAGAGGCCCAATGTTACGCGTTTGCTCGTGTCACATTAAACGATGAAGCGAGAGAAAAAAAAAAAAAAGCAACAGTGCGGTACCGATTAGAAGATCTCAATTAAATGTTAAATTAATTGTTAAATGTTAAATTAAAAATTAAAAAAATAAATGTTAAATTAATTAAATTAAATTAATGTCAATTAAATTAATCAAAAAAGAGATCGAAAAAATAAAGAATCTGAATTTATCTATAGATTTAATACTTTAGAACCGAAGGGCCTTAACAGTTCGAAAGGATCATTGCCGTCTTTTTTTATGGACATTTAATTGAGATCTTCTAATCGGTACCGCACTGTTGCTTTTTTTTTTTTTTTCTCGCTTCATCGTTTAATGTGACACGAGCAAACGCGTAACATTGGGCCTCTCATTGGCTTCACATGACACCAGGTATAGTTGGGTTATACCCAACCACATGTCCCAAAAACTGGTTTTATGATAAGAATGGCAGTAATAATATTATATTTAATTATTTCCATAGTATTTATTGCATCGGTATCGAGATATATTAAACTTTTAAGCGAGAATTTAGTTGAGTAGGCACCCGCTAAACGGTAAGCATTTTTCCAATTAACTTCTTTTTTCCGGCCGTTTTTTCTTTGATTGAAAGAAAAGGAGAACGAAGTCTCCTTTTCTTTCTGACTGACGAAGAGCCTACCAGGCCCGAAACGTTTCACTGATCTCTTTCACTGATCTCTTTTTTGGCAACCTCCTCGGCTAACTCCTTTAAGGGCTATTATTGTGTTGAGTATATATATATATATATATATATACCGGGTGTTTGTGCGAAGACTTTCAAAAATCCTAAAACTTAAAGCGTAAAAAAAGAGAAAAAACTTTCTTCGGGAACAAACTACCAGCCACGGCGGACGTCAGGAATTGCCAAAAACATAGTAATTATCCAAATAATTAATTAAAATTTGTTAATTAACTTT